AGTAGTAGTAGTAGTAGTAGTAGTAGTAGTAGTAGTAGTAGTAGTAGTAGTAGTAGTAGTAGTAGTAGTAGTAGTAGTAGTAGTAGGGGGATCAGGAGAAGGTGGAGGAGGAGGAGGAGAAGGAGAGGGACGGGGAGGCGGAGGCGGCGGAGGAGGAGGATGAGGAGGAGGAGGAGGAGGAAAGGGAGGATGAACTTGAGGGGGAACGGGAGCAAGAAAGGATGGAGGACCGGGACAAGAAAAGGGAGGAGGACAGGAAAGGGAGGAGGAAAGGGAGGAGGAAAGGATGGAGGAACGGGAGGAGGGAAGGAATGAGGAGGGGGAGGAGGAAAGGGAGGAGGAAAGGGAGGAGGAAAGGGAGGAGGAAAGGAAGGAGGAAAGGGAAGAGGATCGGGAGGAGGAAAGAGAGGAGGAAAGGGAGGAGGAAAGCGAGGAGGAAAGTGAGGAGGAAAGGGATTTGGAAAGGGAGGAGGAAAGGAACGAGGAAAGGGAAGAGGAACGGGAGGAGGAGGGGGAGAAGGAAATGGAGGAGGAGAGGGAGGAGGAAAGGGGGAGGAAAGGGAGGAGGAAAAGGGAGGAGGAAAGGGAGGAGGGAAAGGGATGAGGAAAGGGAGGAGGAAAGGGAGGAGGAAAGGGAGGAGGGATGGGAGGAGGAAAGGGAGGAGGAAGGGGATGAGGGGGAAGAGGAAAGGGAGGAGGACATGGCGGAGGAAAGGGAGGAGGACAGGGAGGAGGACAGGGAGGAGTAAAGGGATGAGGAACGGGAGGAGGAAAGGGAGGAGGAAAGGGAGGAGGAAAGCGAGGAGGAAATTGAGGAGGAAAGGGAGGAGGAGGGGGGGAGGAGGAAAGTGAGGAGGAGAGGGAGGAGGAAAGGGCGGAGGAAAGGGCGGAGGAAAGGGAGGGTGAAAGGGAGGAGGAAAGGGAGGAGGAGCGGGTATCTACACTTTGGTGCTAGTTTCATTTCCACCATTGCACTGGAGGGAGGGGGGGTGCAGAGACGGAGAGGAACCTCCGTTGGCATTTTGGCTCGAGGCGTAGCTGTTCAGCGAAGCTTCGAGGGCAATTTGAGGTTTGGGGCACTTGCCTTCATACTTCTTCGCGCGCGATGGCGACGCTGGCCCTCCCAGACGAGGAGAACCTCGGTATGCTTAACGATTGGCCGGACGTGCTCGGCTACTGTGAGCTCGACCCGGCCGTGTGGACACATACCGCCCAGGAGATGGGCGACTCCACGCTCCAGAACTTGAGCATCATCGCTACCCTTCAAGGCGCAGATCTCGCGGAGGTTGCCCAGGATTGCAAATTGAAGGGGATTGCGAAGACGAAGCTCAGCATAGCAGTCGATTTTGCACGCCTCAAGGTCGGAGTGGCGACAGCTGATATTTTCAGCCAGGTGGGTGTTCACGCTCTGGCTCGCGTTGCTTCGCCGGCAGACGCCAGGGGCGCGCCGGCGGTGGCAGCACCTCCGCCGGTTGTGAACGTGCTGAAGGTCAAGGACTACTACGACCAAGCCTCCCGCCTCACCGTGCTCCCCCTGGAGGAAATACGCATTGCCGAGATGCGGAAGCGGCTTCAAGCCACGACGGTGCTCAGCGTGCTGGTTCGGGTCCGGTATACCGACGACCAGGTGTCCGTCCTCGGCCGTCTCGCCGACGCGTGCTACCCGATGTTCGCGTTCGACATGGGCGTGTGGGGCCCGCAGTATGGCCGGCGGCAGCGGGCCGCTGCCTTGTCCGCGCACGTCCAGAATTCGGCCGGCGAGTGGATCACCAAGGAGATCAAGGGGCCACCGAACCTGGATGCTTGGATAAAGGCGTGGGATTTCGCCCCTGCCGGCTTCCTCATGGGCGACGTCATGGACCGTGCCGTTGCGGAGGGCTATCGCGGCTTCTTTGCCAGGATGGTCAGGAACTACCCTGGCGCGGAAGCGTGGGCAGTCTGTGCAGACGCGGAGTGGACTTTCCGTTTCGAGTTCGCTGCTGACGAGCTGGAGCGGCAGCGCCAGTTCCACGGCACCAGCCCGGGCATCTCGCTGTATGAGCCCGCTCGCCCGTGGAATTCGGTCCTCGTCGCCAGGGTTCGCGGGATTGACGCCGTGAGGTTCTGGGAGGAGCGCCTCAAATATCTGGCGCGCAGGCTTCTGTACTCGCGGGCGAGCGCGGGAGGTTCCGCATCTTGGGCAGATGCCGGGGCGTCTGTCTACCGTCTGGTCGCCGGTGCCAGCCCGTGCGCCGGAGCCCGGCAGGCGGCGCCGGCGGGCCGGGCCCGCCCCTGAACAGCGGCGCGGGGGGTGGCAGACGGGCCAAGAAGGGCGCGGCAGAGGCAGCGCGGGCGGCCACCGACGGCGGGCAGCCTACCCGGCCGAGGCTGCCTCAGCCGCTTGTCCGGGGCCGCGGCAGGGGCGGCGAGGCGCCCGACCCGAACGCCAAGCGGGCCGACGGTCGCTTTTACATGGATCGACGTGAACGGCCTCGAGTTGTGCTACGCCTGGAACCGGTCTGCGACTGGCTGCAGCGACGGCGCTGCGTGCAGGGCGGCCCAGAAGCGGGTCCACGCGTGCGAGTGGTGCCGCGGGACACACCGTGCAGTGGGGTGCCCGCAGCACCCAGGGTGGACCCCGCCCCCCCCGCGCCTGGCCCTGGCGGCGGGGCCAAGCGCAAGTGATTTGAGGCGCCCGCCGCCCGTCCCGCGCAGACGCGGGGTCGGGCGGCGCCAGGGCCCCTGGCGGGGGCAGTGGCGCCGGCGATGGCGTCAGCGAGCTAGTTCGCTCGGCTGGCACGTCCTGGCGGGAGCCCGCGAGCCAGGGGCCCGCGCCCAAACGCGCGCGCGTGTCTTGCGCGACAGAGCCGGGCGACTCGCTGCGCGTCGAGGCAACGGCGCCTTCGCGGAGCTCCGACGAGGCGCCGCGAGTTGGAGTCGCGAGCTGGCCGCGCTGCCACGCCCGAACATGTGTGGTTTTGTTCGGGCGCGATTCGGCCCTCACGGCAGCTGTCAAGCAGGGCCAGGCGCTGGTCTTCACGGAGACTCGGCTGCGGCGGGGGCCCTGGGAACCTGGTACCCCGTGGGCTTTGCAGCGGGGGGGCTTGCGCTGGCTTGCAAATAGGCTCAAGGGCGGCGAAGTCACTTGGCTCCACTTAGCGCCAGCGGGGGCACTGGCAGCCGACGCGCGCGAGTGCGCTCAACGCCTCGCGCGCCGCGCTCGGCTGCAGCCTCGAGCCGGAGGTTGCCTCACTCTGGTCCTCGACAGGTCGTCGGATCTGTGGGCGCTGGGTTGCTTGCAGCGGCTGGCACAGTGCCGCGACGTGCAGTGGGTCGGCCAAGTGGCGGGCGCGGATGAGGCGGGCCTCGGCAGCGTCGCCTGGCTCACGACTGCGCCGTGGGTCACCCCGAGCACCGTCAAGGCCGGGCCGGCGGGGCTCGCCGGCGCCTTCGTCCACTTTGATTTACCGCCCTGCACATACAGGCCGGTCATCATTGCCGATGAACCGCGAGCTCACGCCATCGACCCGGCCTCGCAGAGGTTACTCAGGGAACAGAAGAACCAAATGGCCGTGGGAGGAATGCGTAACCCCCATCGATCGATCCACCGCGTGCCAGGATGGACTTCCGTTGGGAACCGGCTGCGCAGGGTGCTCCTCGACGTGTGCGTCCGTCACGAGGCGTCCGTCAGGTCGACGATGCAGGGCGCGGGTGCGCCAGGCTGTGCGGGCTTCCCAGCGGACGTTGTCGAGGCGCCGAGGGCGTCCATGGCGGCGGAGTTCGGCGTGGCGCTCTCGTGCGAGCCGCGCGCGGACCGTGCGGCCATGTTCCGTGCGCTCATTGCAGAGAGCGGCGACCCGGATGACGTGTTGCCTGCGTGGGTGGGTGGCGCTACGCCGCTGGGAATTGAGCGGCCGATACCGCGCCGGGGCATCTTCCCGAGGGTCGAGCGCTGCGTGCCCGAACCTCACAGTGCTGGCGCGGATCTTGAGCTCACTGACACTTTCCTGAACTATCCTTCGGTGGAAGCCGACCCGCACGTCGCCGCGGAAGAGATCGCCAACGACCTCTCCAGAGGGTTTTTGCGGTGGTCCACGCGCCGAGAGCTTCTGGAGGCCTCGGTGGGCGAGCTGGTTCTGTCAAAAAATGGCGGCGCTCGCCCAGGTGAAGAGCGGCCGCATGAAGGTCCGTCTCATCCACGACCTCTGGAGGAGCCGCGTCAACGCCGTGGCTGCGGTTCCCGAGATATTCGTTCTTCCCCGTCTTCTTGACGCCGTGCACACCATGCTGGCATCGGCGCGGGGTTCGCCGGGCAGGGCGCCGGCGGCGCAGGGCGACGCGGAGGTGGCGGCTGTGGAATTCGAAGACGCCGTCAAGCAGCTCGGCGTGGGCGCCGCAGAACAGCGGTATCTCGCCGGCACGGCGACGCTGAATGGTCAGAAGGGGCGCGTCTGTTATTTTTTTGGCGCGATCGCCGGGCCGCTGGTGTGGGGCCGGGTTGCCGCCTTCCTGATGCGTGCTGCTGCTGCCATCCTTCGCCCCCTGTCCGCCGGCGTGCAGTGCTGCGTCGACGACCCGATCTTCGCGCTCGTTGGGCGCGCCGATGTTCGCGAGGCCCACTTGGCGCTCGTGCCCCTGTTTTGGGCGGCATTGCACTTCGAGCTTCCGTGGGCGAAAGCGTCGAGAGGTTCGGAGGTGCCATTGGCGCGCGTATGGCCTACGTGCATGAGGCTGGCGGGGTTGTCGGAGTCACGGTCGCGATTTCTCCGGGCAGGGTCGCCAAAGTGGGCCTGGCGCTTGACGAGCTCGCGGCGGACGCACTCTGCGACCGGAAAGCCGTCGAGGAGTTCGCTGGGTTGTGCTCCTGGGTGGGCAGCATCGCGCCGGCGGTGCGGCCCTTCGCTCGCATGGTGTGGGCGGCAGCTTGCGCTCTGCCTGGCGGTCTCAAGACTTCGGGCCGGGTCGCCAAGGAGCGGATCAAGTTGGTCATCTCCTGGATGCGCGCACCCCTGGAAGACTCCGCCCTGGCGACCCCTAGGAGTTTTTTTGTGGGCGACGCGGGCGAGGGCCCCACTATTGTCTTCGACGCTTCTTTAATTGGAGGCGGGGCGTTCCTGGAGCCGAGTGGCGCCTCCGCTGCGACCATTCGATGTTTCGTCGCCGAGTGGGCCCCCGAGGACGCGACGGCGCTCCAGGCGAGGTGGTTGGATCCAGCCGCCCAGCCGCTGTGGGAAGCGTTCGCGTTGCTCGTTGCGGTCCACGCGTGGCACCGCCGGCTGGGAGGTCATCGCGGCCGTCTCCAGCTACGGGGCGATGCGATGGGCGTCCTGAGGCGTCCTGCAGGCAGTCTTTCGTGAACGTGCCCACCGCGCAGCCCTGTATCGCGTCGTGGCCGAGCTGCTGCTATCCTCGGCAGGGCGATGCGTGACATCGAGGCTGCACATTTTGGGTCAGAGTTGAATTCCGAGGCAGACGCGTTGAGCCGAGTCCACGACGGGGCCGACGTACCCCAGCGGCTGGCGCAGACCGGCATATGCGATGCTCCAGTGCGCCGCCGCCCGTGGCGCATCCTCGGCTGAGGGTGCCTCTGGCGCGCAGACTGTCCGAGGTCCCGGCTCCAGTGCATGCCGGCATATTTTCCAGTCGACGCCCAGAGCTGGCGGCAGAAGGGCCCAGTGAGCAGACTGGCCGATGTGAGGCTGCAGTGCTCAACCGCCTTCGGTGCGCAGACTGGCCGAGTCCCGGCCCCAGTGCTAGCACCGTGTTTTTTTCCTTCGCGTGTGGCCCGGAAGCGCCGGGCAGGAGGGTGCTGTCGAGCAGGCTGGCCGATGTGAGGCTGCAGTGCTCCACCGCCAGGGTGCGCAGACTGGCCGAGTCCCGGCTCCAGCGCTAGCACCGTGCATCTTGTTGCGTTTGGCCCGGAGGCGCCGGGCAGGAGGGCGTCGTTGTGCAGACTGGCCGACGTGGGGCTGCAGTGCTCCACCGCCTGGGAGGCGCAGACTGGCCGAATCTCGGCTCCAGTGCTACCACCATGCTTTTTTTTTCCGGCTTATTGCCCGGAGCTGCGGGCAGGAGGCATTTGCGAGCAGATTGGCCGATGTGGGGCTGCAGGGCCAGGGTGCGCAGACTGGCCGCGCCCCGGCTCCAGTGCTGCCGGAGTCTCCTGCAACGTGCAACCTTTTGTTTTGCAGTGGGGGGCGGGATTTGTTGGCTCTCCTCGTGCTCCTGGCTGGCCTCGGGAAAAAAACAAAAATATGTGCGCCATCTATCGTCGGCTTCCTTCCTCCTCCTCCTCTCCCTCCCCTGTCCTTTCCCGTCCTCCCCCCCTCCCTCCCCTTCTCCTCCTCCTGCCCCTCTTGCTCGCGCCCTCCGTGCTCGGGTGATGCCCCCAGAGGCGTGCTCCCCGCGCTGAGGCTCCAGCGACGGCTTCCTCTCGCATTTTGGCTCATGCAGGCCCCCCGGGGCGCCCTGCGCGCGGCTTCGGCGGGCGCGCCGTCGTTTCGCATGGCTATAGTCGCTTGTGCTCATCGCGACATGTTCGGGGCCTTCGACCAGCCGCTGACGCGCCCGACCCCGCAGGTGGGAGAACGCGATCCACGCGTGTCCGCGGTCGGGCAGTCATTGTCGGTGCACGGGTCCACGGTTGGGCATGGACGGCCTCCTGCTGCTGATCTTCTGTTGCGTGGGGGGCCCCCGCTGCGCCCGCGCGGGATGGCGCCGGGAGGTGCGGTTGCGGCACTGTCTAGGCTGACTGTGCCGCAGATTCCGCCCGACCCGCATCTCGCGTGCAGCTCTGGCTCTGGTTTGGTCGTGGGCGGAGCGGGCGCGGGGCTGCCTAGAATCGCGGTGTCGCGGTTTCCGCCAGGCCCGCCTTCGGCGTGCAGTGCTGTTGTACTCGCGAGGCGTCCTTTCTTCGTGTTTTTCCTGTGGGCCTGGCGCCTGGGGGGAGGGGGGCCCGCTGCGCCCGGGCGTGCTATCGGCCGCGCGGCTGGGGCAGACTCGCTCGGCTGGAGCCCCATAGCCGCTTGGCGGCAGCTGGCTGCCGCGGCCCACGGCGGGCCCGCCGAACCAGCGGCGGGCCGTGCCCTCCGACGGGTTCGCAGCGCGGTCGACTACGCGGCGGCGTGCACGGTTGCTTGGAGCGGCGGACTCGCCCGTGGGGCGTCTGTCCGAGTCGTCGGCGCCAGTCTGGAGGCCAGCTGCCGGCGCGCGGCGGCTGGCGCCAGCGCGGAAAGCATGTCGGCGAGGCGCAGCTGCTGGCCTCGATGCGAGGGGCGATCATGGTGCTGTTCGGGCTCTCAGGGCTTCCAAGTTCGCTGCTTCTTCGCGTGGGGCGCTGTGCTCTCGCGTTCGCTGGTGGGGGCAGCGTTGCGTGGCTCGTGGTTGGCGCGCTGCGCCGGTCTGACCTCCGCGTCTCGAGCTGGCGGGTGATCTCCTGTTGCAGGGCGGCTATCGTTCGGGTCCCGCTTAGTTGTCGGCCATTAAGCGGCGCCGCGTGGGGCGCGCCTTCCGCTGGGCGGCCTTGCATGCGCAGGTGCAGGCCGACTGCAACGGGGCTTTGCGGCGGGGGCGCGGCCCTGCTAAGCAAGCAGCCCCGTTCCGATCGAGGAGATCGTCGTGGCGTCGGCGTCGCCGGAATTCTGCCGTGCAGTGCGGTCTCATTGGCCAGTCGCTGGCGTGGGCGCGGCCATCGTGGCGTGCGCGTGGATGATGCGAGAGATCGAGCTGGGGGCTGCAAAGCTGCCCCAGGCGATTTTCCATCGGCCAGTGCATGCATCGGATGGCCCATGTGGTTGGGCTGAGTTCGACCTTCCCGCCTCGAAGAGTGATCAAGAAGCGCTGGGAAAGAGGCGTGCTCTCGATTGCGCGTGCCCGTCGTCGCTGTGTCCGGTGGCGGCGCTTGACCGTACTGCGCGCGCCGCTAGCCAGGCAGCAGCAGCGCAGGGCACTCGGGCCCAGGGCGCTTCGCTTTTCCCGGTCCAGCAGGGCGGCTTCGGCTCGAAACGCGATTTCATTTTGTTCTTCCAGGAGGCCTCGGCATGGGTCGGGGCCGACGCGGCTGCGATTTCTGGGCGATCGCCGCGCGTAACGGGCGCCCGTCGCATGGCCTGAGCGGGGGTGCGTGTCTGGGTGATTCAACTGTTCGGCCAGTGGGGCTCGGACGTGGTCCTCCGGTATTGTCGCGAGGCGTTCCCTGGGCAGCGGGGCGGAGGGCTCGCGAAGACCATCGAGGCCCAGCTCGCCACTGACGTCGGGGACCTCCAGGGGCGGATGACGCGGTTGCTTGCGGGTGGCGCGGGTGCGCGCGCGGCGCAGTCGAGCGTGGCTGCGCCCAAGCAGGGTGCCAGACCAGAGGGCGACGTGAGGGCCGAGCTCACGATGCAGAGGAAACGACCTCGTGATGCTGATCGTGGCGGCGGTGCCCCACTTGAGCACGTAGTCGACGAGGTGCTGGGGTCGGTGGTGCTCAAGGCCGTTCGTGAGCAGGCGGTGGTACTCGCAGGCCATCGTAACACGCTTCTGCAAGATATCGAGTCGCGCTCTGCAGATGCCCTCGAACGTGACTTGATCATCGCTGGTGAGCGTCCTTCTAAGTTCGTCAAGTGCGTCAATGGGAAAAACGCACATCGGTGCGACCTTCACGCGCTCTCGCTGCGGCTGGGAGTTCGGGCCGTGAGCCTAGGTTGTGCGAGCCTGACGGTGAGGGCGAAATTTGTAAAGCCTGCCTTCGCTCGCGTACGTCGGCTGGCGGGGTGCTGGAAATCGTGCTGTTCAGCACGGGCGCCTCTGCCAGGGATTGGTGACTACTGCGCTGGAAGGGCTCCAGCGTATAGCCAAGCATCCCAAATGCCACCATTTAACGAGCGGAGGGTGGGCGGTGTTGCTCGCGAGTGGAAAATGAAGCGGGTATCTACACTTTGATGCTAGTTTCATTTCCATCGTTGCACTGGGGGGGGTGCAGAGACGGAGAGGAACCTCCGTTGGAATTTTGGCTCGAGGCGTAGCTGTTCAGCGAAGCTTCGAGGGCAATTTGCCCACCCGCCCAACGTCCGTCTATTTTTTCCGAGGCGGTTTTAAATGCATGCGGCGGGGTGCCGGAAATCGTGCTGTTCAGCGCGGGCGCCTCTGTCAGGGATTGGCGACTACTACGCTGGAAGGGCTCCAGCGTGTAGTCAAGCATCCAAAATGCCACCATTTATACGAGCGGAGGGTGGGCGGTGTTGCTCGCGAGTGGAACATGCAAAAAGGGGGAGGAGGAACGGGAGGAGGAAAGGTTGGAGGAAAGGGGGGAGGAAGGAGGAAAGGGAGGAGGAAAGGGAGGAGGAAAGGGAGGAGGAACGGGAGGAGGAACGGGAGGAGGAAAGGGAGGATGACAGGGAGGAGGAAAGGGAGGAGGAGAGGGAGGAGGAAAGGGAGGATGGAAGGGAGGAGGACAGGGAGGAGGAAATGGAGGAGGAACGGGAGGAGGAAAGGGAGGAGGAAACGGAGGAGGAACGGGAGGAAAAAATGGAGGAGGAAAAGGAGGAGGGGGAGGAAAAGGGGGAAGGAGGAACGGGATCAAGAAAGGGAGGAGGAAGGGGAGGAGGAACGGGAGGAGGAAACGGAAGAGGAAAGGGAAGAGGAAAGGGAGGAGGAAAGGGATGAGGAAAGGGAGGAGGAAAAGGGAGGAGGAATAGGCGGATGAAAGGGAGGAGGAAAGGGAGGAGGAACGGGAGGAGGAAGGGAGGGGGGGAGGAGGAAAGGAGGAGGAAGGGGGAGGAGGAAAGGGAGGAGGGGAGGAGGAAAATGAGGAAAGGGAGGAGGAAAGGAGGAGGAAAGGGAGGAGGAAAAGGGAGAGGAGGGGAAGGAGGGATGGAGGAGGAAAGGGAGGAGGGAATGAAGAGGAGGTGGAGGAGGAGGAGGAGGGGAGGAGGAAAGGGAGGAGGACAGGAGGAGGAATGGAGGAAAGGGAGGAGGAAAGGGAGGAGGAAAGGGGAGGAGGAAAGGAGGAAGGGGAGGAGGAAAGGGAGGAGGAAAGGGAGGAGGAAAGGGAAGAGGAAAGGGAGGAGGAAAGGGAGGAGGAAAAGGAGGAGGAAAGGGAGGAGGAAATGAAGAGGAGGTGGAGGAGGAGGGGGAGGAGGAAAGGGAGGAGGAACGGGAGGAGGAAAGGGAGGAGGAAAGGGAGGAGGAAAGGGAGGAGGAAAGGGAGGAGGAAAGGGAGGAGGGCAGAGGGCGCCTCCCAGGTTCAGCTGGATGCGCAGCCCGCCGAGGCCCAGCGCGCCTTCGAGGCGCTCAGGGCGCACGCCTCAAGGGCGGGCAGCGTGCGCCTGGCGCTCCTGGGGGCCGCGGCGCGGGAGGCGAAGGCCGCGGGAGGATAAGCGCCTGCTTCTCCCTCCTCCTCCTCCTCCTCCTCCTCCTCCTCTTCCTCCTTATCCTCCTCCCCCTTGAGGTACGGGCGTTTGTCCTCAACTCCGAGCGGAGCTCCGAAAGTTTAATGTTAATGTCACTGCCTGTGCCCCGACAAAGGCCGCGGGAGTAGAAGCGCACACTTCCGCAGCTTGAGATCAGCGTCACCCCAACATACTAATACTATGTGTGCGTCGCCCCTCCAGGGGCGACGCGCGCACCGAGATATCGTACAGTACATGCGTCGTGGCGGGCGCTTTCTGGCCACGCCGCTCGGGAAACGATACACTTCAAGATGGGTATACTACATGTTCGGGTCGGACGCGCACCTCCAATAATAACGTATAGCACTCGTATCTTTCCGTGTGCCCCGCGAGGAACAGAACGCGACACAAACCCGCGGATGAGTCGTGTGCACCCTGCCGCGTTGGCGCCTCCCCGGGCGTCGTCGAGGCTCGACCCCGGAGCGGTGTGGTGCTTGGCCCCTCGGCCCTCGGGGACCCCTCCCGGCCCCTGGTTCTGGGCCCCTCCCCGTGGGGCCCGGGAACGGCCTCCCGGCGTGGCCAGGGGGGCGCGCAGAGCGACCCTGAGCCCCACGCTGGGCCCAACCCGGACGGGCCCTGGTCCGGCACGATCGAGACGGGCACGCAAGTCATGGATGCGAAGCCCGAGATCGACGGGAAGAGAGAGCGCCACAAACATGAACGGATGTCTCGGATCCGCGCGGATTTCTTGCATCCGCGCTGGCCCTCCCGGCGGCGCCTCTGGCGCTGCCCCTTGCGCGCTCCGCGCGCCAGGGAGGGGGACCCAGCGCAGTTCCAGGAAATCCGTGCGGAGCGCCGAAAGTTTATGTTTATGCCGTTTGTTGTTCTTGTTGTTGTTGTTGTTGTTGTTGTTGCTGCTGCTGCTGCTGCTGCTGCTGTTGTTGTTGTTGTTGTTGTTGTTGTTGCTGATGTTGTTGTCGTCGTCGTCGTCCTCGTCGTCGTCGTCGTCGTCGTTGTTACTGTTGATGTTTATGCTGTTGTTGTTGTTTCTATTGTCGTTGCTGCTGCTGTTGTTGTTGTTGTGGTTGCTGCTGCTGCTGTTGTATTTGTTTTATCTATTGTATTTGTTGCATTTGAGGTATTTGTTGCTGTTGTTGTTGTTGTTGTTGTTGTTGTTGTTGTTGTTGTTGTTGTTGTTGTTGTTGTTGTTGTTGTTGTTGTTGTTGTTGCTGCTGCTGTTGTTGTTGTTGTTGTTGTTGTTGTTGTTGTTGTTGTTGGTGTTGTTGTTGTTGTTGTTGTTGGTGTTGTTGGTGTTGTTGTTGTTGTTGTTGTTGTTGTTGTTGTTGTTGTTGTTGTTGTTGTTGAAAATTCATTTCTACCTAGAGTATAATTATTGTTGATCTCCGGAAACGGTTCCGCTCGCTCTCGCCTCGACGCCGTCTACATTTTCTTTGAAACGAGGCTTGCACGCGAGCGTTGGCTTGAGTGTAAAAGTGGGCCCTTGGAGGCCTGGCTACGACGACAACAGCTCCAGCTCGATACTTCCTCGCAGTGTACCCCGAGACACCTTGGCCAGAGAGGCCCCCGAACTCAGGAACTGCGCTCTCGCTCGAGACTGCCCCGCAATTCAGTCAAGTTGGCGGGGGCCCAGCTACGAAGATAAGGGCTCCTGCTCGATACTTCCTCACGATTTATTATGAGAGCCCCTGGCCAAGAAGGCCCCCGAACTCAGGAACGGCGCTCTCGCTCGAGACTTCCTCGCGATTCAGTCAAGTTGATGGTGGCCCAAGTAAGACGACAAGGGTATCTTTTGATACTTCCTCAAGATGTATTCGCAGAGGCCCTTGCCAGAGAGGCCCCCGAACTCAAGAGTGGCGCTCTCGCCCGAGTTTTTTTGGGTAATTTAGGCAAGTTGGTGGAGGCCCAGACTTGGCGACAAGGTATGTATTCTCAATATGTATTCCGAGATTCCCTGGCCTGGCCAGAGAGGCCTTCGAACTCAGGAACGGCGCTCTCGCTCGAGAGTTCCTCGCACTGCAGTCAGTGGCCGACAAGGAAGAGATTCCCCCCGAAAGGGGTGTGATCGAAGACGAAGTGGGCGGGTATCGAGGGTTGGGGTAAACAGAGTGCAAAACACGCGTGCCAGTAAGAGCTAACAGTCTTAAACTGATTGGTGTTGTTGTTCTTGTTGTTGTTGAACTCTCATTTCTGAAGAATAATTATTGTTGATCCCCCCCCGTCCGGTGCACATTGTTTTTTCTCGATTGAAGTGCCCTTACCGGGGCTCGCACCCTGTTTTTTTATAAGGGAAAGTCTTGAGGGTCAAACTGTGTCGTTGGCCCCCAGGTTACAACAACAACGGCTCCCGCCTGAGACGTCCTCACAATTTAGCCAGGACCCCTGCTCCCGCCCGAGAAATTCTTGCATTTTATTCAGGAATCGCGCTCGCGCCCAGCGCTCTGGAGTCGCGCTCTCGCTGGAGACTTGCTTGCAATTAACTGAAGAATAGCGTCCTTGCGTTGGAAATGTTTGCAATTTACTCAAGCGCCGCGCTCCCGACACCCAGGCACCCAGGAGTCGCGCTCACGTTTAGGACTCCCTCACAGATTACCTAAGAATCGGGATCTCGCTGCCCTTCGTGGCCCCGTTGCAGCCCTTCGTGGCCCCCTTGCTCCGTTTCGTGGCCCCGTTGCAGCCCTTCGTGGCCCCCTCGCTGCCCTTAGTGGCCCGGTTGTAGCTCCTCGTGGCCTCCTTGCTGCCCTTCGTGGCCCCGTTGCAGCCCTTCGTGGTCCCCTCGCTTTGTTTCGCGGCCCCGTTGTAGCCCTTCGTGGCCCCCTCGCTGCCCTTCGTGGCCCCGTCGCAACGCACCCTGGGAGAGGTCCGGGGAGTAGTGGTATCGGTACTTTTTGGTTTCCCACTGTATGACGATGCCGAATAGCGATGCCGATGCCGGCTCGTGCATCGACGATCGAGGCGTTTCGTTGTTTTCTCAGTGACGGGGTGCTGTTTCTGGGCCGCGGTGCCGTCGATCTGGACGGAACACTGACCAAGATGGTGAGCGGAACGTGAAGCGTGTGCAAAGATGCCGATGCCAATGCCCTTCATTCGTTTTCGCTTGTTTGGGCTTCAGAGGGTCCCTCGCCCCCACTGCCGGACTTGCCTCGGAATTCTGGTCAGAACGCGCCCGAGGAGAGGTCCAGGAAGCAGCGTTCTCGGTACCTCTTGTTTCCTCAGGCGGGCCACTTCGACGCTGTGATCAAGTCGATCGACGAGATGATCGCCACTCTGAAGGATCGAACGGGGGCTCTCGAGGATCTGTGATTTGGGGGGCCAGGCCGAAGGCATTCTCCCCAGCAGTGTTAGCACCTGGGGAATTCTCGTCCTTGGTCGCGAACAACTGCCCCTGCATTACGACCCCTCCGGAGCTCATTCCCACTGCGCTGACCCCGCTCTTTGCCCCTGAACTGCGCCGCCCCCGAAGCGCTTCGCCGCCACCAGACGCCGCCAGTGGCCCAGAGTCGGGCGATGTCTTGCGGTCTGCGCTATCGGAGAGCCGCGATCGTTCAAGGTTGAACGATCCACGCGGCGTCAGAAGGCAACGCCCGCTACATCGCGACGCAAACCAGCCGTGCTCGCCCTTCAAGCCCGTCGCCGCCATCAGCTCCGCTCTTAGCCCCCCTCAATGCCCTGCACACGATGCAATCTGCCGCCACCAGGTCCAGTCTCTGTCGGGCACCCCCAGAGTGCTTTGCCGCCATCGGATCCGCTCGCTGCCAGTGCGTTGCCGCCGCCTCCTCGAATCTCGCTGCCGCCGCCAGCCCCTCTCCCTGTCCACGCAGTGCGCCACCCCACAGCGCCCTTCGCCGCCGACGGCCCCGCCTGCGCACGATGCTCTCGCCCGAAGCTTGTCGCCCGGCGCAGATCTGCCTGAAACCGGTCCTGGGCCCCTCTGAGGGCCTATCGCGACTGGTTTCTCGAGCTGCGTCTGGCCGTGGCGATAGGAACCTCCAGAAATGCCCAGAAGACGAAGTCGTCGTCGACGCCGCCGCCGCCGTGGTGGTGGTGGTGGTGGTGGTGGTCGTCGTCGTAGTTGTTGTCGTTTTCGTCGTTCGCGTCGTTGTCTTTGTTCTCGCCAGCAGCAACGCGGGAGCGAAGACGTTCATGATGCGACTATGCAGTCGATGGATAATCTGCTCTGCCGCGTCAGATTGCCGATCAAGCGCTGTTTGGGGGTACAGGCGTAAAAATCATATTGATATGGAGCAGTTTGAGGGTCCTGCACCTGTTGGGGGCATTTGTGGGACGTACTGGGGTTCTTGGACATCCTGCGTCAAGCTCTCCAAATCCTGGCCCCACATTTTGCCCCCCTGGGAAAGCCTTATTTGAGGAGGAGGATACCGCCGACATCGCCAAGCGAGATGAGTGCAAGAATGAGCTTTTCCGCGCCAATAGCACGATCTCCCAGCTCTCTTGGGATATCAAGGTGAACACTGCGAAGATTGACAAGATTGCGCATAGCATATCGGAACTTCTGGCAGAGCAGGACAAGACAAGAGAGGAGATATCGGAGGTCAGGGAGCACATGGTGGACATTAGAGACCAACGAACGGCAGAGAACGGCGAATTCCTGCAGGCCAAGAAGGACGATCAGGACGCCATAGCTCTCCTGAACGACACTCGCAAGGTCAGACAGCAAGTCACGGAACCTTCCGCTTCGCTTGCACCGGCTGTATAGCGCCCCACAGCGTCCCATAGCGCGCACGCCGCGCCCAAGATCGCCCAATGTAGCGCCTGGCAGTCCCGAACAGCGGCTCCAACAGCGCGCAGTAGCGCCACGGCGAGGGAGATGCGTTGCGTCCCCGCTCTGCGCGCCATTGGGCACTGTTGGACGCGATCTACTGGGCGCCGTGGGGACGACCAGAAGCTTCCGTGAGCTGCTCTCTGAGCCAAGGTGCTCTCGAGCTACTACGCCGACCACAACGTGACGCTGGGGCCCCTCCAGGCGGGAGCCAAAGCCCTGGCTCTGGCGCAGAGCTCCCGCGGCCGGCAGGGCCCCGCCTTCGCCGTCTCCGAGTTCGACGCTCCCGACATCGAGTTCTCCGGCAAGTCGGCTCGGGTCCCGCAGGGCAAGGGCATCATCTCCGTGCTCACGATGGTGATCGAAGACCTCAGCGAGGAGATCCAGAATTCCATGAGGGCCGAGAAGGAAGCGCAGCTGGAGTTCGAGCGCATGTACGAGGCGGCCGAGGAGCTGTTCCAGAGCCTCGGAGCGAAGCAGGTGCAGCTGGAGGGCATGATCGCCAGGGACGGCGACAGCAAGTCGCAGGAGGAGGCGTCCAAGCTCAGCAACGAGGCCCTCCTGCAGAGCCAGGAGGCGTATCGGAAGGGCATCGAGCCCGACTGCCACTGGATCTTCGGTGCCTTCGAGGAGCGAGCCCAGAAGCGCGCGGTGGAGATGGAGGGCCTGGTCACCGCCAAGGACTTCCTCGCCGGCTACAAGCCTGGAGAGGAGGCACTGGTCGCCTCGCGCAACCGTATCCTTCGCGGTGCGGCCAGCGCGTGAGCGATGCCTCGAGCCCTTGTCAGGAGACCTTGAGATCCGACGTCGCGAGACACGTGCAGCACCACTGCGAGTCACGACCGGAGCCTCGGACGACCTGCCCTCTGGAGATTGCTTTTTATCCTCTGGCGCGCAACGGTCGTTCCCTGGGCAAAATTCAGGAGGGGAAAAAACACAGACACAATTAATCGTCGACCCCCAGGAAAATATGGGAAAATAATCATGGGGATTGGGGGGGAAGACAAAAACCCAGAAAATATAAGAAAATATAGGGAATCCTATTATTTGTGTGTATTTTTTTGCGTGTCCCAGGGCCTCTTCAAAAATACCCCCCGCCCCCAGGTGGGGGGTGAGGTCAACGATCGCACGTGGGGCGGGGGGGGGCCTGGAGGATCAGGCCCCACATGCCGGTGCTCGCGCGCACACCGTGGCGATCATCGCAGCGCACCCCCGCCACTACGTGGCCCACCCCTCCCAAGTGTCACCACCCACCAAACCACCCCAACCCAACCCGAAGGCCTCAATTTGCCCTCCATTTCCAGTGCGGGGGGGGTCCGGGAACATCGAGAAAACACATAATTATGGAGCCCATACCCCCCCCAACCCGAAATTCGGGTCTTCGGGTTGGGTTGGGGTGGTCTGGTAGGTAACTAGTCAACGTGTTGCTCGATGGCGCGCCTGGGGAGGAAGCGAGAAGGGGCGGGCCTTCTCAGAAGGCTCTGAGGTCCTCCGGCCTTCTGAGAAGTGTTCTATCTGCCTCCCTCCAGGACACAGAACGCTTCTCGGAAGGCCCGAAGGCTGCCGAGAAGCCCCGCCGCCTTCTGTGAAGGCCTCCTCTTCGCTTCCCCCCTTCGTTCGCCGCCGAGTTCACGTCCCCCGGGGCCCCCGAGCCCCTCCGCCCCTGGGTGGCGAGCGTGGCTGGGCCGCAGGGGGGGCACGCGGGCCCTCTGGCTCTTGCTCGAGAGGCCGAGAGGGGCCTGGGCCTCCGGGGCCACGGCCTGAGCAGGGGCAGGCCAGGGCAGTGGGGGGGCTCCTTCTCCTCCTCCTCCTCCTCCTCCTCCTCCTCCTCCTCCTCCTCCTCCTCCTCCTCCTCCTCGGGGGGGCACGAGCCAACGGACGAACAGCGAACGAGCGACGAAAGCACGAGCGAAGCACGAACGAGCGAACGCACGAACGGCGAGCCAAAAGTTGGCCTGGCGCAAGACCCAGCCATGTGCAGCCGCGAGCACCGCGAGGCAGGCGAGTCGACGGAGGGGGGCCACGAGGCGTGTGAGGGGTGTGCCGAAGCGTGCGGCGCGGAAGCGTGCGAGCGTCGCCACTGGGGCCTTCGGTGGAGCTCCCTGTGTGGCCACGAAACGTGCGAGGGATGTGCGGAAATGTGCGGCGCGGGCGCATGCGGTAGGAGGGGAGATGGATGAGGGCAGCGGGCGGGAAGGAGACGCGAGGCGCTGCCCCTTCAAAAACCGAGGACCCAGCACCACAGGATGGTTGGGAACAGAGATGTCCGAGCCCCCGACACACACACAACTGTGCAGGAGAACGAGGCGCTGGGTCCTGCGGCAGAAGGGAGCGAGGCGCCGTGTCCTGCGGCATCTCTCGAGCCGCGTCGAGCCGTGGTGGCTCCCTCGAGGCCCGACCCCCCGGGCGGGCAGCGGCACAGGCGCCCAAGGCGCCGGGCACGAGAGCGCGCAGGGCCTCTCCGGGCCTCCCCGGGGGGCCTCCGCCCGCCAGCAGGAGGCGACTGGAGGAGCCCGAAGGACGCGTCGGCGGCCGGGTGGCGTCGGGCTCCTGGGCGTTGCTCGGCCTGGGCCTCGGGAGGCTGTGCTCCGGGCCTCCCAGGTTCAGGCCAAGCCAGGACGAGGAGGAAGTCGGGTGAGGATACGTCGAGAATCTCTGAGAAGATCAGGCGGCTCTGGAGGACGTCTCGGGAGGAGGACGAGGAGGACGAGGAGGAGGAGGAGGAGGTGGAGGCGGAGGAGGAGGAGGAGGAGGAGGAGGAGGAGGAGGAGGAGGAGGAGGAGGAGGAGGAGGACAAGCTAGGTGCGCTCGCGTCATATCTGACGTCCTACCCTCCCTCCCATTCCTTACCATGACGTAGATCCCCTCTCTATTCGCACAGTCGGATGTCGTAGCGTGGCATAGCATCACATGGCATAGCATGGTGTTGACGATCAACGCGTAGCATGACACAGCATTGCGTGGCGACGCCCCAAAGTGTGTGGGGGATTCTGCGGCCCCCAAAATCAACGAATCGGCATCGAATGTGTAATCATTTTTGATTTCTCTTCGAGGAGGGCATTTTTTTTAGATTTTGAGGCCTATAGGGCCGAAACCATGCCGTGGCATGGCATTGGAAATAATGATGCCAGCGCCGCAGCGGGAGTACGATTCGAAACGAGCTGAAGCGCGGAAATGAGGCCAGCCCTGCAGCGGGAGGACGATTCGGAACGAGCGGAAGCGCGGAAGTGAGGCCAGCATTGCAGCGGGAGCACGTTTCGGAACGAGCGGAAGCCCGAAAATGAGGCCAGCGCCTCAGTGGTAAAAGTATTTTGAAAAAAGCCCAAGCGAAAACTCAGTTCCCGGGAATCCTTTGTGTAAAAACAATACGCGGAGGGGTGCCGAATATTTTCTGGACGTCATCAGGGGAGAGAGGAGAGTAGTATTCATATTGTGTAATTGTGGAGGAGGAGGAGGCGGAGGAGGAGGGAGGAGGACGAGGAGGAGGACGAGGAGGAGGAAGAGGAGAATGAGGAGTAGGAGGAGGAGGAGGAGGAGGAGGAGGAGGAGGAGGAGGAGGGGTAGGAGAAGGAGGAGGATGATGCGGAAAAGGAGGATGATGAGGAAGAGGAGGAGGAGGAGAAAGTAGAGGCGGATGATGATGCTGATGACGATGCTGCTGCTCATCATGATGATAGTGGTGATGGTTGTGGTGATGATGATGGTGATGATGATACTGCTGCTGCTGCTGATGATGATGACGCCTCTAATGATAAGGATGATGATGATGATGATGATGATGCTGATGCTGATTAACATGATGATGCTGCTGATGATGGTCATGAGGATGAAGCCTATGATGCTCCTGATGATATTGATGCTGGTGATGCTGCTGATGCTGCTGATGCTGATGCTGATTATGATGATGATGGTGATGACGATGATGATGATGCTGGTGGTGATGCAGATGATGCTGATAACGACGATGATGATGCTGATGATGATGATCATGATACTGATGATGATGATGCTGATGATGATGGTGATGGTGATGGTGATGCGGTTGATGATGAAGATAATGGTGCTAATGATGCTGATGACGATGATGATGTTGATGCTAGCGATGACGATTATGATGCTGATGATGTTGATGAGGATGATGCTGATGATGATGACGATGATGATGCTGATGATGCTTGAGCTGCTGATGCTGATGCTGATGATGATGTTGATGCTGAAGTTGTTGATGATGATGTTGCTGCTGCTGATGACGATGGTGATGACGAAGCAGATGGTGGTGATGATGATGCTGATGATGGTGCTGATGATGATGATGCTGATGATGATGATGATGATGCTGATGACGATGAATCTGATGATGCTGACGATGAAAATTTTGATGCTGAAGATGAAGATGAATATGAAGATGATGATGCTGCTGCTGATGATGCTGATGCTCATTATGATGATGATGCTGCTGATGATGATGCTGATGATGATGAAGCTGCTGCTGCTGATGATGATGCTGGTGATGCTGGGTATGCTGTATGCTGATGCGGATACTGATGAGGATCATGATTCTGATGCTGCTGCTCATGCTGATGCTGGTTATGATGATGATGGTGATGATGATGAGGATGATGATAATGATGCTGATGGTGATTATGATGATGATGACGATGCTGCTGATCATTCTGTTGATGCTGATGATGCTGATTCGGATTCTGCTGATGCTGATGTTGATGCTGATGCTGATGCTGATGCTGCTGCTACTGATGATGATGATGATGATGACGATGATGATGTTGATGCTGATGCTGCTGATGAGGATGCTGTTAATCATGATGCTGATGCTGATGGTGATGATGATGGTGCTGCTGCTGACGACGCCCATGACGATGAAGCATATGGTGATGATGATGATGATGCTGATGTTGATGCTGATGATGATGATGATGATGATGATGATGATGCTGATGTTGCTGCTGATGATGATGGTGGTGATGATGATGATGGTTATGAGGATGATGATGATGCTGCTGCTGCTGATGATGATGATCATGCTGATGATGATGATGCTGATGATGATGCTGATGCTGCTGATGATGATGATGATGATGCAGCTGCCGCTGCTGCTGCTGATGATGATTATGTTGATGATGCTGATGCTGATGCTGCTGCTGCTGATGATGCTGATGATGATGATGATGATGATGATGATGATGATGATGATGATGATGATGATGATGATGATGATGATGATGATGATGATGATGATGATGATGATGATGATGATGATGATGATGATGATGATGATGATGAGGGGAAGCAGGAGGAGGAGGAGGAGGAGGAGGAGGAGGAGGAAGAGGAGGAAGAGGAGGAGAGGAGAAGGAGGAGGAGGAGGAGGAGGAGGAGGAGGAGGAGGAGGAAGGAGGAGGGGAGGAAGGGAGGGAGGGAGGGAGGGAGGGAGGGAGGAGGAGGAGGAGGAGGAGGAGGAGGAGGAGGAGGAGAAGGAGCAGCAGCAGCAGCACTTCCTGCCCGAGACCGTACCGTGTCGAAGCTCTCTGCGCGGAGGGCCCGATGCCTCCTGGCTGGCGGCGCGCCGCTCGCCTCGCGGCGCTGGCGCTCCTGGGCGGCCTGCGCGGCGCGCGGGGGCTGCGCGCGGGTGGCGCGGCCTTGCCGCTACAGGCCGCGTGCTTCGGGGCGCCGTGGCTTGTCCTCGGTGCCGCGCCCTCCTACGAGCGGCGGCCACGTCCATACCCAGAGGCCCGAGGTCCCAGGAGGCTTTGGTTCAGAGGGGGAAAAGGTACCCATGCCTCTGCCCTTCCCTCGTTTCCCCCCTTTCTTGGGCCTCCCGGGATGGCCTCGTCGCCACCGCTGGATTCGCCCGGACATCCTGGTCAGAACGCACCCCAGTAGAGGTCCGGGGAGTAGCAGAACGGGTACCTTGTGGTTTCCACAGTGGTTTGACTTTCCTAACTTGTTTGTTTTTTATCCCCACTGTAGGCGGCTCTGACGCCTTCGACTCTCTTTATTCATCCATCCATCCATCCATTCGTTCATTCGTACCCGGATGTCCTCGCGCCCCTGGCGGGTGGCACTTGTTTCACGTTTCGTGGGGGGGCGCGCTTCCCCCGGCGGCCACCGGCAGATCATCTTTGCGCCCTCGCGCCACCCCCGCCCCTGGAGAAAGACGACTCGCCAACCAGGACCAGAAGGGGGAGGAGGAGGAGGAGGAGGAGGAGGAGGAGGAGGAGGAAGAGGAGGAGGAGGAGGACCAGGAGGAGGAGGAGGAGGAGGAGGAGGAGGAAGAGGAGCAGGAGGAGGAGGAGGACGAGGAGGATGAGGAAGAGGAAGACGAGGGCCAGAAGAAGGAGGAGGACGAGAAAGAGGAGGAAGAGGAGGAGGAGGATGACAAATACTCGGAGGAGGAGGAGGAGGACCATGAGGCGGATGATGATGATGATGATGATGCTGATGATGATGATGATGACGATGCTGCTGATGATGCTGATGATGCTGATGAAGTAGCATGATGCTGATTTTTGATGGTGGTGGTGGTGATGATGAGGATAACGATGAGGAGGATGTTGATGATGCTGCTGCTGCTGATGCTGCTGATGCTGATGATGATGACGAGGATTATTCTGATGCTGATGATGCTGATGCTGTCGATGATACTGAACATGCTGATGATTATGCTGATGATGCTGATGATGATGATGCTGATGCTAATGCTGGTGATGCTGGTGATGATGATGCTGATGCGGATGCTGCTGTGGTGTTGATGATGCTGATGATGATGCTGTCTATGCTGATGATGCTGATGATGATGCTGCTGATGATGACATATATGATGATGATGATGATAAAATGATGATGATGATGATGATGATGCTGATGATGATGATGATGATGATGATGCTGATGCTGATGATGATGATGCTGATGGTGATGATGCTGCTGAAGATGATGATGATGATGCTGATTTTGATGATGATGCTGATGCTGATGCTGATGCTGATGCTGATGATAATGCTGCTGATGTTGAGGATGATGATGATGATGATGATGATGATGATGATGATGACGGCGACGATGATGATGCTGCTGCTGATCATGATGATGATGCTGATGACGATGATGATGGTGATGATGATGATGCTGATGCTGATGCTGATGCTGATGATGATGATGCTGATGCTGATGCTGATGCTGATGCTGCTGCTGATGATGAGGATGATGAGGATGATGATTATGATGATGATGGTGATGACGATGATGATGATGATGATGATGATGATGATGATGATGATGATGATGATGATGATGATGATGATGATGATGATGATGATGATGATGATGTGCTGCTGATGCTGCTGCTGATGATGATGCGCTGATGATGATGTGATGATGAGATGCTGTTGATGATGATGATGATGATGATGATGATGATGATGATGATGATGATGATGATGATGATGCTGATATGATGATGATGATGATGATGATGATGAATGATGATGATGATGCTGCTGATGATGATGATGATGATGAGGGTGATGATGCGGAGGAGGAGAAGGAGGAGGATGAGGAGGAGGAGGAGGAGGACGAGGCGAGGAGGAGGAGGAGGAGGAGGACC